AACCCCCCTGCTCTCGGGGGAGAGAAACAGCCCATTTTCCCCCCCCGCCGCCCCCCGCCTGCCCCATAGCTACTTGTCGCCCAGTCTCTAACTCTGTCTGGCAGCGGGAAACTTCTACCTCACTTTGTCTCTTGCACCAAAGATACCAAAGATTTTTGCAAGGCGTCTCCGTGTGCGTGTGCGTGTCCGTGGATGTGCCTCCCTAGATATCGATCTCTATTTTTTGCATGGCTTGTATCTCTTTCTCTCTCTGTCTCTTAAGTGCTGCATCCTGTGGAGCTCCCGGGGGGCAGGGGATGGGGCCGCGGCCTCCTCCCTGCGCCTGCTGGAATAGTGAAGTGACCTAAATGCGTCTCCTGTACTCCCTGAGACAAGGATTCGGTGACCTTCCCCGCCTCTCCCATCCCACCCCAGCCCTGTGATGTGTCTGCCCAGAATATAATGCACTTTAGTGGAAGGAGCCACTGGCCGAGAGACTGGGGTCCCAGCATGGCGGGGACAAAGCAGAGGCCACGTGATGGTTAAGTGCCGTTCTGCTCCAGAGAGCAGCTCTCTTCGAGAGCTACTCTGGCAGGGCTTGCTCTGTGTCTCTTGCCTCCACCCCTCGGCAGCTCCATTTATGAGGCTGTTTTGCAACCCCCCCCCCCCCCCCAAAAAAAAAAAAAAAAAAGAAAAAGAAAAAAAGAGCTGTTCGCTCCGTGCTTTTATTTTCTGCTGGTTTCTTCCTTCCCTGGAGCTGCGGAAGGAAGGGGTGCTGCTTTTCCTGGCTGCCAGCTGCAACCTCAGCCTGAGGGCCAAGCCCAGGGGTTTGAAGGGGCGTGGGGGGAGATAATCCTTCCTCAGTTGCACCCTCATCAGGTCCAGGAGGTTTGATGGGTGGTGCTGGACTCTGCTGGGGTGCCCAGTGCCCAGGTGCAAGAAGAAGGGAGGGCTGGGGTCTGTCCATCTGCTCTCTGCAGTCTCCCTGCCAGATACTGTCCCCAGGGCTGCCAGCATGGCCCTCCGTGCCCCCATCTGCCCAGCCCTGTGCCTGGGGCCGAGGGAGATACCCCACCCTCTGCCGTCTGCCCTCTCCACCCTGCCTGGGGAGGATGCTGACTGCAGGGAAGGGGCTGGATGCCCCTTTCATTGGCACAGGGGAGGCCTCCCTTCTCCCCATGGGGACCTGGGGGTGAGAAGGGAGCTGGTGTGGGGTGGAGCAGGGGCCGGAGGGCACAGGGCTGGGGTGTCCTCTGCTCCCTGGACCCCTGAGGCAGCGATGGCTGTTGTGTGCCGTGGGCTGGAGGGTCTCCAGTGCTTCATGGCACCATCTCTGGCTTTCCAGGCACACCCCCAGCTGCTTTCTCCTCCTGCTCCCTGCAAGCCCCTGGCACTGTTCCTCACCTCTGGACGGCGCGGTGCCCCCAGCCACCCATAGGCCCCATCCCCAGGGAGAAACACAAGCAAAATCATTCAGGATCCTTTCCCCCACCTCTCTGTAGCTCCCGATCTGGAAAAAACCTGGTCCCCCCAGCCCAACCCGGCACTCTGAGACCCTGTTTGACAGGCAGTACATTATTCCCGCTTCACTTGAATGTTCCTCCTTTGTTTGGTGACTGTGCTACCCCCGCCCCAGCCCCCCAACCAAAGTCTCTTGGCCTGTAAAAGCATTGGAAAGACGTGTCCATTTTATACCAAAGGTTTTTCTCTGATACCTCATGCTGTCCCTGGTCGTGGTGATGTTACACACAAAGTAAATGTCCTTTATTGACATAAACCTCCTGGCTCTGTGGGTTCATTTCCACGAGGAGGGAGGGAGGTGGGACCCTGTGGGCAATGGGGCCCGGCTGGATGCCGAGAGCAGCAGGAACCAGCTGTACGCGGAGCTGGGATCCCCCGGCTGGGATTTTGAACTGAAATCATCCTGCTCCATGTACAGCCCCTGGCGTGGAGGCAGTGTCAAGTGCCCTGTAGCAGCCTGGCTGGTTCTGGAATGGGTTTAGAGCAGCTTTAGGCCAACAGCACTTCACACCAAGGGTCTGTACTGGTTTGACTGGGCAAGAGCTGCCTTCCTCCAGGTGGAAAAAATCAGATGCTACCAAAGGCAGGTGAGGGGGCAAAATGAAGTCAGCATGGGGGAGATGATGCCTGGAGAGTGGCGTGAGGGCCTGGGAGCATGAGTGAGTCTGTTATGCTCCCATGACATGATCTCTGGGTGAAGCCGCAGACTCCGGGTGCTGATCATTCATGTTGAGCTAGACGAAGCGAAGCATTGGATCCCCCAGCTCTGCTCTGCTCTCTGCACCGTGCTGCAAGACTGCAGCTGCTGCTGGGTGGGGCGAAACAGCCGGGTCAGAGAGGGAAAATTGAGGGTGTATATATGTGTGCATGTGTATAATATTTTCCCCCTCATAATCCAAAAGGAGGACAGTTGTTTAGCCAGCTCTGTGGCTTGCTGCATGGGGCAACAACGGGCATTTCTTTTGTTTCCCCCAACTCTTGTCCAGATTGAAATGGGTCATTGGGAAATGCAGATGAGCTTCTCATTAGGAAGCTAGGAAGGGAAGCAGCCCACCCACGCCAGGCTCCTGCCCTGAGCAGAAATGCCAGCAGGAAGCAATACCAGCCAGACTCTAGGATCTCCTTGAAGGAAGGGTCACACCGCCAGCTGCAGGGCTTTCCCTTCTCTGGGATTTGAACCTGGGGCTTGGCTGTGTCCCTTGGAGGTTCAGAAGCCAAGACCCCATGCACAGAGGTGGGGGAGGCTCCTAATGCCTGAGTTCAGTAGCTGAGGCCCATGGGTCTGTAGCGGTGAGATTTTTGTATCTACATGGTGGTGATCGAGTGACTTGGAGGCCTCCAATGAGGTAAAAGCCATCCCAAAATGCCCAAGGGGGGTGGGGCTGTGTGGTTGGGCACATTAGGGTAGTGCCCTGAAACAAGATGCCAGGTTTCCTTCTGGGCCCTGGGTGATGCCAGCTCTAGTGATTTAAGCCCAGGCCCTACATTGGGCTTCCTGGTGTCCTGCAGCGGTGAGTTCCACTGAGCGCCTCAGCAGTAGGTAAGTGTTTGCTGGTGGGGGGGGAAGGACAGGGTCTTGGGGCATCTGTCATCACCCGAGGGCAGCCGCACTTTTCCAAGGGTCTGTGGTTGCTCACAAGACCTCCGGAGAGGTCAGCAGTAGGTTGAGGCCAATGCAAGGATGAAGCCGGTGAAGGTAAGGGTACGGAAAGGGGCCAGTTCTCCCAGCCCCCACACACTGTGTCTCACCACATGGCTCTGCTCACACCTTTGCACCCATGTGAGCGTGGCACCAGCTCCATGGGTCCCTCCACCACTGTCACCATCTTACAGGTGACTTCACATCCAGCCCTGGGAGCTTTGCCACTGCTGCCAGGCTGGTGGGAGCCAGGGTTTAAAGGTCATGGCAAAACTGTGTGGGGGGCTTCTGTTTGCATGAGTCTCCTGTAGGGGAGGGGAAAGCCTGGCCAGGGGCACGTGTGTACTGGGG